CATTAAAAATATTAAAAATATTAATCATAGTAGAATAATCCAGGTGTGCTCTTAACCTTTTCTTTTACTAAAACATTTGGTAATTTACATTACGTTTTCCATGGCAACATTTGGTCAGATATTAGATAATATTAGTAGAGTTTATTTTTTTTTACAATACATTTATATATGTATTTATTGTGGAAGCGTAGCAAGGAAAAATGGCAATGCAAAATGTTAGGAGCTTTGTTCAAAGTTTGCTGAAAGCCATAAAGAACATGCAATAGTCAATCGGGACCCAAAGCTACAGTGTCATGCCCGGTGTCCTGTAAATATTTAAATGGCAACCTGTCTGTCACAAACTTAAAGTGCCTGACCTAAATCAGCAAAGGTTCAGTTAGTTGAGGCTTGAATTCTCACAGTGAGTGGAGCAGAGATCACCCGAGTGCAGTGACAACGTCTCAAGTAATTGTATAAAAGCACCAGTGTCAATTCCCTGGTTAATCAAGATTCTTGATTACAGTGGTTAGACTTGAAAAGAGCTGTTCACATCTGATCTGAATGCAACCTGACATAACTTGAACAGTTTTGCTAAGAAGTATGGAGTAAAATTGCAAGTCTGATTAAAACCTGTCCACACAGACTCCATTCTGTGATTCCAGCAAAAAAAAATCTGATTCTGTAAAGGGAGTGAATATTTATGTAATTGCTTACTTTACGTAAAATTATTTTATATAATTGCAATTCTTTTGTAGAAATAATTTTTTTTTAATTTTTTGGTCAATTAAAAAAAGTTGTTGATGATGACTGATTTGTCCAAGCAATAGAAAAAATAAAACAACTAAAGGGGTGAGTACTGTTGATGTTCACTGTAAAACTATAAAACATAATGTCCCACAAAGTGTTGACTAAAGGGGTTGGTCATAATTTAAAAAAATACGTATATTTAAGAACCATGTGTCTGGTTCGTTCTACGTTATTTGCTTTACTCCAATGTTGGTTGTTTACATAAACTCCCTTTAAAATGCATGGAAGTTTATGATTGCAGTCAAAAATTCCAACTACAACAATAATAATAATAAAAAAACACTCAAGGCATATAAATGCTTTTGTACTATATAAATATAGTTTTAAAGAAATAAAACGTAAGCAGAAAAAGTAGTGACATATAATGTTTTACCTGCCTCAGCCCCTTTTTGATTCAAGTCCAAATATAACACAACTTGCAGATGACACTGACTTTACATGCAGTGACTCGGGCTTACCAAGTCAATTAATGGATTTGTGTGGGTCTGATGATGTTACCAGACCTGTGTGTCAGGGGGTTGTGGTCAGGGAGGCAATCACAGGCAGGACCAAGAAAAACATCCTTGTGCTTGTTAAAACCACCATTTTCTTATAAACTTTGTCTGTTGGAAACATGCATTTTCACCTGGTAAGTGTAGCTTTTTCCTAAAAACGACGAATAATGATCTTGGAGAGAGAGCTTTCAAATTGTTACAGTTTCTATTTTGTTTCATCTGCTACTTAAGTTACTGACAGTGGCCTTTTTTTTCCACATTCATATGGCCGTGAAAAATCTATCGCTGTTTATCACCATTAAATGACAGAACATCTGCCTATGACTGCATGGTCTATGTCACTTTTGAAGGCGCTTTAAAAAAGAGGAGCTGTGGGAAACTGGGGGATTTTAACCTGATGGGAGACAGGGTCAAGCAGGGAGATATGGTACATTAGCAAAGCATGATTTCCCCACATGTGATACTGGTGTAGGTCTGGCCCAAATATTAACAAATATTAGTCAGAGCAAGAGTCGGCAACATAAATGGAGAGGGTTAAATCCTTCTTGTAGCCAACTGGAAATCATAACAGTATTTTAACAAAAAAAAAAAAAAAAGAATTATGATCCTTAAAGTAACCAAGTCAGGATGAATGTTTATGTCAGAATTTAACATTAAAATGAATTTCTGACAAGAAACGCTATTACTCTGTGTTAATGTTTTGTATTGTATTTTTTTTCTTTTTGTCTCTATAATCTTCTGGACACAATGTGGTAACTTAAGCAACATGAAAAAAAAAGGCAACATGTCAGGAGAAGGGTTATGTTTTTTTCTGGAAATCCTGTTTTATGAGTAAAGTCAGTTATTAAATTTGAACTGACTCTAAAGACAACTCCAAGGAGTTGTGTGGTGAAACTAACATTATTTATGGAAGTGTCTGGGGTCATTTGTTTGCATCTATTTAATGTGGGGAAAAAAAACTCTGTCCATATGGATATTAAATTCCATGCAGAGACCATTACAAGTTCAGGAAATTAAAACAAAGCTTATGCAGCCAAAGGCCGTCAGTTAATTCTTTGTAGAAAGCAGCTCATTTTTCATGTCTGGCCCACTTTATGCTGTCCTCTGAGTTAATGTGGGTGTAGCAAGCTGGAAAAATGCATCTGTACATTTTATTTTAACTGCGTTGTATGTGTGTGTGTTTCACAACCATTTTTAGTCAAGCAACTGGACTAGCCTGCATTTTGAAACCACATGATGACAGCACCCGATGAAGTCAGAGTAAACAGCAAGCCAGTCCTCATTACCAATCGCGTGTACTTTTGGATTTATTTCATATGGTCACAAAACTGTTAAGAGTAAATATTCTTGTGATATGTCTTTACATGGAATTTGAGCTGCAGTCCACCAGTCTGGCTTCAGACTCAGACTTTCTGTACACAAAGTGAAAGCTTTCCAAAAACAGGTCTAAATCTGCCTCCTAATTGTGGAAGAAAAATGTTTAAAGTTTGCAGAACCACTAGTGTGATTTTGTTTCAACAGTAGTCAGAAAATGGGTGCAGCTTTGCTGTAATACGTCAACAACTCGGTGGAAAGGCTGTCACCTGGTATCAAACATAACAGATTATTACAAGAGTGTGTTGAAACTGACAGAACTTTCTTTTTTTTTCAGAAATTTAGCAGATTTAAACCTAATCTAAATCTGATGCCATGTAGGAAAAATGTGAAACATATAGTTAATTTTTAACATACTCTCAAAAGGTTTGATTGAATACAGTGGATTGCAATGATGTTGCATGATCATTGCTTGTTCATTGCATTTTTTTTTTTATTATTTGTACTAAATAGTATTATAGTCATTTGGGAGAAAAAAATTATTTTAATTTATAGAATATATTCAAGAGTGATTTTCAAGAATAAAGTTTAAATTTGAGATTTAATTAAAAACATCCTTATTGTTGATATTTTTATTCTGCCTTTTCTTATTTAATTCTTTTTCCACCATTACAACTTTTTTCTTTGTTATTTGGACAATACTTTTATAGCGCTTGGTCATTGTAATTGGCTTTTTTGTCATCAAAAATGATTTCATCGTAGAATTTTAAGGCAGTAACATTTGTAAATTTGACAGAAGTGCCCTGTAAAACATAAGACATCGCAACAAGCTGATAATTTTCTGATTTGAAAGGCCGATAACTCATAAGGCTAGTGAGCAAAAATGTAAGGCTGTTATATTTATACTCTAAATAAGGCCAAAAACTGTTGACTCTTTAAAATAAAGTTTTGAAATGAAATCCCAAAAATATATAAACAGAAATCATCTATTTAAATAAAGTTATTGATGTGAAAACAAGAAAAAAAAGGTACAAAATTGATCAATTGAAACAAAATTCCATAAATCCAAACTAAGCTGATAAGTTCACTGTTTACTGACAAACTGGGCTGCATTCACATGGTGTTGGAATTTTACATTTTCTGAGTCATTCTGACCGTTTATGTTTATATTTCTGTTTTCTCCAATTACACCAGAGGCTCTTGAGCTCTTTGCAAGTATTACTTAGGAGTGGGAACGCTTAATTAAAAAAACTAAACAAACACCCTTCCCACAAAATATGTTATCTGGGCTATTCGTTATTATACTGAACCAATACGAATGTTGTCATAATTTCTTGCCATATGTCATCAAGACAAGGACCCAGGGATCTTCACTCAGAAGTGAAATAAAAAAGAGCTCTTTTACACTTTTGACACTTATTTCAACACAGAATGGCAACAATTTCCAAGGAAGCAAATTCATTTTTGTCAAGCATTCTCAACAAAACCAGATAATTTATTTCTTATCGCCATCATTTTTTCATTCAAGTCTCCGATTATGTCGGATCGCACAGGGTGAAAACATGATTCTTGAGCTGTGAATTATTGAAGGCATCTCCTTGCTGCCACACACCTGGCTTAAATAACTGTGTTATTAACAGGTTTGAGAAGCAGAAGAGGTGCAGGAATGGTCATGCAATCATTTGAATCAGGTGTGCTGGAACAGAGATATAACCAGGTTTGGGAAACACTGCTCCAGTCTTATCGGCAACTACAGCTTTTGTAAACGAATTCTTTAGTAATTGAGTAATCTATTGATTATTCTTATGATTAACCGAGTAATCGGATAAAAAGAATTATAAAATATTGGCAAATCTGGCATGACACCTGTGTTACTGTCAAATATCAATGTCAGTCCAGTTTTTCATATTTCCATCATCTCTTACAGTTACTTTTTTGTGGTTTAGAAACCTAACTGTAATAATAATAGATCACTTTCTAAGTTGAAGAAAAGTTATACAAAGACCTGAAGTTATATTCAATTTTATAAAGAAAAAGGCAGGTTCACAAATACCCTTAAAAAAATTGTCTATAGTCCAGCTTTTAGTTTATGTATTATGTACGTAAGATGGGGGTGGAAATACAAACTTGTTGGGGGAGGGGACCGGTTGACCAGGGGCCAAAAACGAGGGGTATATGGGTCAGCAGTACAAGATATATACGGCACCTTCGTTCATCACGCTCAGAAACTCATCTACCAGTCATGTACCGGGGCCATGATTTCCACCGTTTCTTGAGACCGGGATGATATGAATTTTATTGTGCGTTTTGTCCGTAAAGCTGCACATACACTGTAACCATCAACTATTCAGCCACCCACCGTGTTCAGTTTATCTGCTCACCTGTATAAATACTCCTGCAGTGCTCTTCCCGCCATTCGCTCTGAACCAGCAGCTTCCGGAGGAGAAAGGTTCCAGTACTCCAGGCGTCACTCCAGCCATCACTCCCGTCATTTTAAGGATGCTTATTGGTCCCCCAAAACGATAAAAACCCGGTCATTATCAGTCAATAAAAACTTGAAAATTGGACGTTATGCTGCTAACACTTAGCTTTCATCAACAACTCAGAGGGGAAAGTCAGAGCTACGCGTAAGACAAATTCAGCCAGAACATGGTGCGCTGAATAATAAAACATAAATTAACGAAGGTTCAAGGCAGAAAAATTTTAATAATTGAAGTACTCCAATCTTTCGAGGAATCGTTTCAGGCCTATCTGCAACAAATACTATAAGACAAATCTTATAGTCAGCACCTGCAGAAAAAAACAGAATATAAATGTGTAAATTCAAAAGGTTTACCTGTGGTTTATTCTTCTTTGCATGTCTACTTTTCTATGGGCATTTGAATGTGATCAATCTCATTGTATTTGATGAACGACAGATGTGTTTACATATAGAATAAGTTATCTGCATGAATTAAAAGCGCATCCTCTGCTTATCTGTTCTGATTCTATCTATCTATGTAGGAAACCTTGAAGCAAGGACATTCAGACCTGTATTTTACTAGGTTTGTTAAACTTATGGAGTCAATAAACTTTACATGCTTTATTTAGTTCACTCTGGGACCTGCTAGTTAAGTCTGCATTTTTATCAGCAGTTTATGTTGACAGGCCCCTTACAAATGGCTGAAGGGATGTTGATTCTTATTGCTGTCCAGCCTCTCTGTACACACATTGACTTATGCTTTTATTTTTTTTACCGAATATTTTACGGCATATGTAACGCAGCCAGAAACTACTTTTATCACCATCTCCAATTGCTTCAGCTTTAGTCTTGATCCCTCTCATTAGCCTGCAATGGTAAAACAGGGATTCAGTAAAAAAAAAAAAAAAAGAAAGAAAAAGAAAAAAAAATACAGAGCATCATTAAACACAGTAAACGATATACTTAGAATTATAGAAGTTCCATAAAAGGACTGGAAGAGTGCCAGAAAACCTATTTAATTCCTCCAGACGCAGGTGTGAGCTCCTACAACAAATCACCCTATGCCAGAGGTCTAATTTGTAAAAGACAACAACGTAATGCGTATAAAGAGCTTAAAATGTTTGCCGAACAAAGGCAGATGTTCTATAGTAAGATATATGAGAACAGAAAGCAATGATGCCAAGCTGATTAGCAATTCGGATTTGTTTCATTTTATCAACTCAAGACACGAGGAGAATGTAAATCGATGAAAACACCGAGGCATGTTGACAGAAAAAACAAATAAAATGCTGATTAAATGGGAACTTCAGCATAAAAGCCAATAAACAAGCAGAGATTAATTGAAATACAGTATCATTGGTTGAAGTTAAATATTTGGACAGTGGGTTCATGTTAGCATTTTTCAACGTTGAGCTATGAATTTTAAGCAGATCCCACAGACACATAAAGAGCTTAAAAGCATGAATAAAAGAAGAGCCTCTCAGCTTGTGATTATAAGGTTTTATGGCCTTTTCTCTTCTTTACTTACCAGAAGTGGATGTTAGTTGGGACTATTCATTTTATGTGGATGTAATTCTATAAAAAGAACATTAATAATCTGCACATGAATATAACAAATGACTCGGTTCACATTTTGTAAAATCTAGAAATGTTCTAAACCTTGATCAGGCAGGATGAATTAAGCAAAAAAATAAAAATAAAAAATTGCCAAGAAAGAAAAAAAAACTGTTTTGAATGGACAGATGTAAATACTCTCTTTGTGTACACTTTTAGCTGATGTGATTGGAACATAGCCATGCTCAGGAAACTGAACCGGTGTTTAACTTGGAAGGCCGACATGCTTCAAGGCTGCCAAAGTGCTCGGAGAACCAGCTCACCTCACCCAGCCTGCCGTAAATTCTCACCCTCTTCTCGTCCCTCGCATGTTCTGAAGTCTTATTTGTTTTCCACATTTTGCTAGAGGTGACATTCACTGTACAAAACTGTTGCCTAAATGCCAACTTCTGCAAAAGTGTGATCTCAAGGCAAAGCACGAGACGCTGGATAACAGGGCTGGGGACAGCAGTCTCTTTAGTGCCATTACAACAAATCCCGCCCCTGAGAGTACATGCTCTGGCCTGTCATTTGTCTATTTCACATTATTTTTATTTTAGTTTTTAGAGGAGGTGCAGTAAAACCTGAGTTGCCTCTTACCCCTTCAGAACTTCTTATTTCAAGCATATTGCCTAAATCACAGGAGGTATGTTGGAAAAACAGGACACCCCATAAAATCCTGAAAATGGCCTCCTGTTTTAACATACTCATGGGGAACTGAATCAGACGCTTTTAAAAACAGAGCTCGCTTTGGAATGAAGAATAATGAAGCAAAGTTCAGGGGCATTTTATCGGTCTTCTCTTTAACGTATGTTGATTCGGCAGATATTAAAACTTCTCTGTTTTCAGACAAATCAGACAAAAGATAAGGTGAGGTTACAAGTATGATGAGAGGAAAAAAAACAAGGGCAAAGGTCTATAGAGTCATGCAACACCTTTACTTTAACTGTCCATTTTGTTGATTAGCAAGAGGCTTAAACTCTCCCCTTTTAATCTTGTTGTTTGAGTGATTAGAGGAAGCATGGATGAGAGAGGGAGGAAGACGAAAGGACAAACAAAAATAAAAGTATATTACGAGAGTTAATATGAGATCATAGAGGTTGAAGTAATTTAATAGAGAATGCAATCTCTTAAAGTGCTTTACGTAGTTTTCTGAATCCTTCATGTCAACCTAATGTTATTTTAAACACATAGCATGCATTGCTTTTGTAGTTTTTTTGGGGGGGTTCCTGTCAGTTTTGACAGTAATAATCCCCAAAAGATTCTTGATGGCAAAATGTTAGAATTTAAGTCAACATTCTAAATATTTACTTAATTACTTAAAAATGTTTTACACTTTTGAGTTGAGACTGTATATAGAAACTAGCTCAATAGTGACAATCTGGTTGTAACTAGTTTGAGCCCTGTCAGAATAATTCATTTCAGTTTAACAAATATTGAAAAGAAAGAAACTCAGGTATTTTTTTTGTTTCCTTTTTCCCTTTTTTATTTTTTTTGCTTAGCCAGTGTTAAAATAAGTTGAATCTACTCCAAATTAATAATTCCCACTTCCAACCTCGCCAAAAATATTTTATTTAAATAGAGAATGTAAAAAATAAGATCCAGAGCAAAGTCCAAAATAACATCTCACAAGAGAAACACAATGAAACAAGCTTATGGGAATAACAAGATGATCTTACCTGTTTCAGCTGGAGAGTTGACAAATGAACAAAGAGCAGATGGTTGATCAGAAACAAGGTGGAGCTGTGAGGGAGGCAAATAGGAGAAGTTAAAGGATGGAATTATGCATTTTCCGGGTCCATCAAGAAACTACGTTATCTTCAGATGTAATGACGATTACATCTTCATTACATCTGAAGATATACATATATTTATGTAAATAAGATATATTTACATAAATATATTTTATGTATATATATTTATGACTGTACAGTTAAATAAATTTCACTGTGCATTACAGTTGTATATGATGCCTTGCAGTTGGCATTTATTTCTTTATAAGCCTCCAACACACAATATTCACCAAAACGGATTAAAGCCATGCCCATGGAGAAGGGGTTTTTGATATGCTCACAGACACACACGAGGTGTTTGCTAATTGCTGCTGCTGCTTGCTTGATGGGGAAGGCGTGAGGAATGGATGCTCCATCAGGTGAGAGATCATGGGGACTGAAGCTTCAAGGTAGAGCTTCGGGTAAACAGACGGCACATCAAATTACATCTTAGCATGATATAAAGCTCAAAAAAGTATTATTTTGTCCGATTATCCCATTTTAAGCAAAACTGATGGGATACATTGCTGAAGAACACACAGGGAACAAGTAAGCAGAATATGAATACATATGAAATATGGAAAGAATTCGAAAAACTCAAAGCTAAAGTCTAAAAGAACAAATTATTTATGAGTGATATCAAAACATAGATTAAATATGCTAATTTTAGTACAGCAGTTTCACAAGCTACTCTACAGGAAGATCAATAAAACAGAGATTTATGTGTGTTTATTAAGGACTGTGTAAGGCAGATATGTCTTTAGAAAACCTAAACATGTTTAGATAATACATTGTCAGAATGTTTTAGTAGCTTTCCTGTATTCAGATCCAAATTTTCAAGATCCCAAGTCAAAGAACAAAGAAAACTAATTATGAACTCAAAATGTTTTTTTTTTTTTTGTTTTTTGCTTTTAATTGAAGCTGAGACCATCATGATATTTTGTCCCTGACTCCAATTTCACTCATTTAAGATCAAATATCTACAAATACCAAGTCCAGAACCAGATTAAAGGTAACACAACCAGTGCTATGTAGTATGTATTTAAAAGTCTAATACATTTAAACTTTAAAGTGTTGATATTTTGTTTCAAACTTTGTTTTAAAGGGTTTAATAGTTTAGCAACAGTTCCTTTTGCTAATAATTTTTTAATATAAAAGTCTGGGTGAAATTTTGGTTTTACAGTTCAATAAATGAACCAGAAAAATAAGTATCCATATTTTTTTACAAGCTCATATGGTTCTAATGCTGACCGTCTTTCATTGCATTTGTTTTCAAAACAACATCCTAAACCATATCATTCCTTTGGTCATGCCAGGCCTTTGTTCAGCAGCAGTAAGCAGAATCAGATCCACCCTCAGAGTCCCAGTGCATCAGGCAAGCGGGGATTCTCTCGTTTCATGCAGTAACTATAAAACATGCTCCAAGAATTTGCAACAGTTCTGCTCATAGCCGCAGCCGCAGTGTTCCCTCTAACAAGACACAATTACAAACTTGTTGTAAATCATGGCTGTGTGCATTTGGGAGTTTTCAGAATATCCAAGTGGTTTGGGATGCTTTAGAACCTGAATATCTGAAAAATACATAGATAGGTTTTTTGTCGCGGTACCAGCAGAATAATATATTGTGCACCCAAGAATTCCTTTGTCACTTAGAGAGAATGCAATGTAATCTAGCAATAGAAGCACTGCCAAGCATCACAATATTGATAAGCAAATTATCTGTAAGCTCTGGTGTCTACAGTCTTTCAAGTTGACTTTAGGTTATTATACAACCCTTTACTTACTTATTACTGCCTGTGCACACATTTTATGTACAAATAATTGATTCCAGCATGAAAAGCATCGGATCAATATTTTTATTACCTGTTGAGATCTTTGTAACCAGATTAAGGAAAGCCTCTAGCATTACAGCTTAACCTCTTTCAGAGATGATGGGATTTGTTCCAGCTGTGTAGAGTTGCAAACTAATTATTGCAGATGCACAAAATTAACGATTCCACATTTTCTTTTCTGACAACATCTTCTCAGTTAATTTATACAAATTGCTGGAAAGAAAGTCTCTTTCATATCCACACAGACCTTTTGCATTATGCCCACACAGAAAAGACGAAGGAGATGTCCATCCTTTGGAAGAACGTAGAGTCACTGAGCTGCACAGAAAGGAAGTCAAGTGAGGGATATTTTTTTTTCGTTTTCCTGCCATTTCACTTTTTTTTTTTTTTTCTTGCTTGGCCAGTCCTGCTGTGGCCCGTGATGCAGGGTCCCAAGGGCCCAGCGGTGAAATAGTAATATGGACCATCTGACACCTGTCAAAACAGCCCTGTTAGTTGAGCGTCAAGCCCTGTCAGCTCACAGAGGAAAGTGCTATGCGGGCTCTCAATTTCCCCCTTTCCCTTTAAAGCTCTCCCCTGTCCCTCTTGTTCTCCTGCTGAATATCCCAACTTCTACTCCCAAGACTCCGGTAGAAATTCCCTCCTTCCTTATTCCCATTTTCCCCTTTGGAAAGACCTTTCAGTTTTCCCATTTTCTTGTGTCTTCTTCATTCTCAGACTAGTGGTTTGCTTGAGACAAATCCGATCGACCACAACACAAACTGTGATTTGTCCACATTCATGTGCCTATAAGTTTAGAACACATCTGGAAATGGAACAGTAAGTCCCTTTTCCATTTTCCCTGTTTTATTAAAACACCTCATCTATTATATCCTATCAATTAAGAACCTGTGCTAGAATAGTCACCAGAGAGACCAAGGGCAATTGTTTCCAGTGTAAAGTCATTTGAAGTTATAATGAGTCTCAGTCAGTCTCAAATGTTCCTTCATTTTAAAGTCACCCTTCCTGGTCAACGATGTATGAAGAGGAAAGCCTCTAAATCACCTGAGCCTTTTTTGTCCTGATCTTCCCGACTAGATGTGGCATTCGATAATTTAAAGCGGGAATAACATCTGAAATTGATATTGACAAAATCCTCTTTGACTTTGTCTGACTTTTAGCAAATTTTTACACTTCACTAAGTTTCATGAATCACATAATGGAACGCTGCGGAGGTTCCTTACAATTTGCATTGTGTCTAAAACACAAAATGTTAATGAGTTTTATTTCAATTTTTAGAATATGGAGTGAGGAGAAAGATGTTTAAAGCTTGACATAATGTTATATAAGCTACCCCCTGCTTTAAACTTCTCCACACCTGACTGTCTTCAAAATGTAGTTGTGGCATGAATGTTCTAATATTAAAAATGTTGATACATTGAACAGTCAGAAAAAAAAATCCAGAATAAAATATTCAGTTTTAATGTGACAATGTGTGAAACAATTTAAGGGGTATGAATATTTTTCAGCAAATTTTCGCCACTGACAGTAAAGTAATTGTACTCCATCAACTGAGAAAGAATCTTGCAGAACTGCTGCTTGTTCACAAGTAATAGGAAAGGTGGAAATGTTCAGCTAAATGTAATTGCCTGGGAAAGATAAAGAACAACCCATAAGGAAAGGTTCATTTCTCCTCTCTACATTTTCTCGCTCTACCTCAAATTGTACCACTCAGCTGTCCTGTAAGAAGACTTTGCAAATCATTCAGTAGGCGAGTTACATTTAACTACATCAGGTTAATGGACCTTGGAACTCAGATGTACAGTGGAAAGGTGTTTCTGATGTGATCCAGAGGCTGGGCTGATCGAGTAAAGAAGAAGATGGAGCCCTTGCCAGCGTGGCTGAGAAAATCATTGCAGACATTGCAGTAAAGAGTTCTCTGCATTAGTGAGAGGTTATAATAAAAACAAAACCCCAATCAGAGTTAATGACGTTGTATTAGAAGGTATTTATTGAGAGTAAGGGAGACAGCAGCTGTGACTTCTTGTGCTTATGGTGAACAAATGGTGGCAGTTAGTGGAATTTATGGGCTTGCAGGGAAATGAAGTTGGGAATAGGTGTGGCTGTGACGACAGTGAAGGGTCTGCAAGAATCCAGTGTAATGTAACTGTACTTTATGCAAGTTATGAATGTCAAGAAATTCTTTTATGAAGCCTGATTGTAACTGAATTGAGAGTGTTTTTCATATGCAGCAGTTACGCCTGATGAAAAATGAGAAAGTAGTCTGAGTGAGTCATATAACAAATGCCAGATTTCACTGAGATCATTGAGAAAAACAAAGCTTTCCAGCTAGCATTATTATTTTTGTTGTATCACAAATAGACAAAATATGAGCAAATGTCTCTGGGTCAAATGATGTCGTTACGCGTAGAGACACACCAGTGCCTTGTGTGTCTTGATCTCTGTTTCATTTGTCTGCATATCTGTGTAACCACGGGGGTGGCCTGCCGACATGACCACCCTGCTCTGTGCAAATCACTGGCGCCTGATGGGAGCAAATAGGAGGCCTTTAAAAAAAAAATAGGAGTCATAATGTTGATTCTGGCTTCTGCTCTAGATTTTTGAGAGGAATTGGATCTTTGTAAAACTTTGTTGCAAGTATTACTGAATCAAGCAGTTGGAGTGATGCTGCTATTGGCCAGAAGTAAGATTTCACTAAGGTGACTCAGCCACTCATAAACAGCTATTAGTTGGGGATTTTCTCTAGCTCAAATTTGTCTCTCGGCTTGGCAAGCCAAGGAACGAAATGATAGTGTGGCATATGTACAGCTTTCCACGTATTACATCATAAACAAGTCATTCTGTGATGACCCCTCTGGCTGGACTGTCCAAAATAACAAGGCTTGGAATAATATGGCTTCGCACAGAACTCGACTCCTCTCACACTTGCGTGTTGGCCTCCCAGGTCATCTTCATGATTATGCCTGGAGGACCTGTCCATAGACAGCCACAAAAATGCCCAACTAGGGAACAATCCAACAACTTAATGTCAGCAGTTTACTGCTTTTTCTCATTCCCATTTAACCTCAAAGTATAAAACAATAGTTTAGATTTTGCTAAACTTGCAGTCTTGAATTCTTGTCAAACAATCAGCTCAAATTGTTTCTCATCCAGAAATATTATATCCCACTGCCTGACAGTGCCTGTTTTGATTTTTGAACGAGAAAGCATAACTTTCCATTTTAATGAGACAGTCTCTCAACAGTGTCTACAGCCTGGCAAAGTGTTTTCACCTCTGCAATTGTGTCCACACTTCAGAGAACAAGCCATTAACAAGATCCAACAAAAAGCAAGTAGCAATAGTTGTTTCACAGCTTCATTAAGTATATAAAGAGAAACTGAAAAGCAAACCAGAAAGTAATTTTGGAACTTCTGTCTAGGTCAGACCTCTTACAAACCAAATGGAGGAAACTCAATTTATTGCTTGTTACCACAGTTTTCTTAACACAATCTTGCTCTCAAGACATCTTAAAACAATGTCACCCATTACCTTTCCTATAAAAGAAAGGAAAAGAACCAATAGTGATATGTTTGTATTGTATGTTTGATATAAAAAAAAATCTGATTTCCATCTTGAAAAGATAAAAAAGAAACCTCTGAACCCCAATTCAGAATTGCAACAGGTAAAAACAGTTTTCTCAACAACAAGACCTCATATGCTTTTACAAAACAGCTCCACCATAAACCAACAGAGAAGAATTGCTCCATAACCCGCCCATGATCATTAACAAGTCACAAATCAAGCCTGCAGTGCCATGCATACATGTGAACTCCCAAAAGTGAAGTCAGAACCAAAGGACGCTTGGAGTCGATGCATTTTCAAAGCCAAGCTGTTATCTATAGTCATTTCTGCTACATATCAATTTGGTAATAGGGATCTCATGAAAAGGTTAATTCCTTATTTCTGCTGAGTGACATATTTTTGTTTTTGTGCTGTTTTAAAGAATAACTACTAATGAAAAAACTTGAATGACATATCTAAATCTAATTTACAATTTAAGAGAAAAATTAAAGGCAACAGTAATAATTGCAACTTGTTCTTAATTTACATTTAGGGAAAGAAGTTCTGACAAAATGTCTCCACTGCACTTTACATGTCTGGCATAAAAACAAATATGTGTGTTCTTGAAATACTCATCTCTGCCTTGGCTTTTCTGGTTTACATTAATGCTAAACTGTTTCATATGTTTTGTGTAAATAGGTGTCACCAAAATTCCCAAAATGTGCAGCAACAGGCAGTCCAAATACTGTCTGTTGTAGTTGTGCTACAATAGTGGTCTTAAAATCCTATGTTGTTGTATTTTCTCCACATGTAACATAACATGTAACCCAGGAAATTGACATTAAAAACATTTTATACTGTAATATTATGTTATTTTAGGTGTTTTTTTGTTCTCATTTTTGCAAATATTAGATTAACATTCATTTGTAAATGATTGATAAAAAATGAGAATTGTTAGTCAAAATTTCCAATCTGTGTATATTTTTTTCAGAACAAACCCAATTACCTGTTTTTTTGCAAACAGAATGTATTATTACTACATGATTATTTATTTTTAAGGTACAAACAGCTGTTAATATACATTTAAATTGTTTATTTCAATCATGTTTCAGTAATCACAGCTCCAAGGAGTAAACATTTTCTATGGATTATTGCTAAATCTTCTTTAGTAATTAAATTCTTATGGACTACATTTCCAAACACCATTAAACTATTTTTGTTGCAATGAGAGATTAACAGAAAAATCAACAGAAGATGAGCAGTAATGCTGAAGCATAAAATCTGTAGGCATGTCTGCTCACAGTGCTGACTGACAGCCCTCCCTGAATGTCACTCCATATGTCTATTGCCAAATTTTAAGTCGCTCAAAGCAAATGAACCAGACAAGTTAGATGCTGGATCTACATAGTGAATCCGGTGAAATCTTCATAATGTGTATATCACATCCTGACTCATGAGCCATGACAAAAACAAATGAGACGTATCTTGGAACTGAACACAATAACCAAATTTGACTTGAGAATGAACAGATACAAAACATATTGAGACATGTGGGTGTTTCAATTGGCAATATTAATGTATTAGGACTACTGTATAGTGTAGACTAAAAGCCCAATATGATCTCAGGCTAACTAAACAAACACAGTGACAGAAGAAAGAGAAGGTCGAGGCAGACTCAAAAAGCTGATATAAACCCCTCTAAGAAGACTGGTCAGAAGCTCCCAGTTGTACTGATTAGTCCCACATCAGGAAGTGGAAGGAAGCAAAAACAGCAGAGAAGACAAAACAGTAAGCCCTGCTAGAATGGGAAAGAAGCTTTGTAGAATCAAACTGCACCATCATCAAAATTGGTCACTGAGTCAGAATTTAACCTGTCCTGGGATTTTTACCCAGTGCATAAATTGTATAAATACTGTAGTCATGGTGGGCTGCCATGACCAAAAATGTTTGGGCTGCTCAATATCTATATTGATAATAACAAGAGCTTTTACCAGCATAAATTTCTGTTGCAATAAAGCTGATAATGAGCCAAATTACATTTTGATATTTTGTGAAGGGGTAAATTATTTACCTCCTGTTGGTATAAAGAGTTTCAGATTGAGCTATTTTAAATAGCTGGTATCAGCTGAAACTAGTGCAACTGTCTTTCAACTTGTTAATGTAGCAGAGAGAATAAAACTTTACTTAATTTTTTTTTTTCTAGTCTAGATCTCTGCTCAGATGGGCAAATAGGAGAAATTAAAGGATGGAATTATGTATTTTCCAGGTCCATCAAGAAACTATGTTATCTATAGTTTTATGAGTTATTTTAGTCACTCACTTTACAAAACGAAACATGTGTATTAATTTCTTCCTTTGTGTCAATATTGAGGATTTTCAACTTGAAAGCTAATGAAATGACATTTAGGATTAGAATATTACATTAGGTCGATTAAAGAAACTAGGGGTACACCAATGAATCAGGCCTCATGAATCGGCCAATGCGCACATGTGAAGCCAATATTATCCACTTTGATGAAGGTTATCCCGCTGTTGCCAGCTCAGTAACTTTCCTTTTATATTTAGCAACAGTCAGAGAAAATAAGATTTTGCAGGTCAGGTTTAAAGATCAGTAATTGGTGATCGGTCATAAAGCTGCAATCGGTGCACCCCTAAAAAAACATTTATAATTCAGAAATGTGGGCTGATGAAAAGTAGGTTTAATACCTGCTTAAAGTTTGCTTTTTTCAACAGGTACTTTGAAATTATGTATAAAAAAAACAAGCTTATTGGGGATGTGAATGTTCTAAGAACACAGAGAAACATAATTGTATTCATGTTACAGTCACTGGAATAAATCACACTCACACAAGTTAACATTAAAAATAATACATGAACAAATATATATATATATATATATATATATATATATATATATATATATATATATATATATAATATATATATATATATATATATATATATATATATATGTATGTATCTAATCCAGTTAGATTAAAGTGCTGCCTAAATGACCACAAATAACGGATAGCATGAAGCTAATTTGCGTTGGAAATACAATAGAAATGCTAATGCTAATTAAAGTGTTATTTTTCCCCTGTTTTTCAGGGCTAACCAATTTAAAGTATCTCATATGGTACTTTAAATACAAAAACAACACTTTATATCGACAGAATACTCACAGACAGATGTTTCCTGGTAGTCATAATGAGAACGTATATCACTACCAAAACAGCCTTACTCAGGAACTTGCCCAAACTACGGGAGCCCTTTAGGGTAAATTAAAACAAACTCAAACTATGTTGGACAGTACTTAGCCTCATCAGAAGATTATATTTTGATTTATCATTAAAGACTGTATTCATTGGGGGGGAAAGCCTATTAAAACATATTTTACTGAAATCACTGTTAAGTGCAATAATGATACGTTAAATTTAACAAAAAACTAAGATAAATTTTACAAATTAGGTCAAGGAACATTTACTAATCCATTCAAAAAAGCTTTAAGCTTTTTACCCAAGCGTCACCACAATCAAAACCATGATAAAAAAAAAAAGTTGTACTGGAACAGTGACAAACAAGATTGGACAAGGACCCAAGTTTTCAAATAACTTTGTCTAACAACACAGTGTTGTCTTTTTTTTTTTTTTTTTTACAAACTCATGGGAGAATCCTCATTATAGGCACCTCAAGCAGAACTCACCAGAGAGAAGACTTCTGTTATGGAGGATTGCTCAAACTTTGAGTTGCCCATCCGACATTGCTAATTAGTAGGCAGAAACCTCCATTGCTGGTGTTTTGTCAATATACCGCACACCCTTCAGGCTCAGTGGGCATCACAGGGTCGCTGAAGATCTGTGTGAGTCAGTGAAGCATACTGCCCATGTCACACAGTGGGTCACTGTTTTTACTCAGCTGAGCTTTAAGTCTTTATCAGCCTCCAACATCAGGGTCCAGTAGTCACACAAATTAAAGGGCAATTAAGGCCCTGAAACGGCTTAGGGATCAAAGGAGACAACAGGAGGAGAAGCCACTCTGGAGATTTACAAAGCAACAACAGTGTGGTCTAATAGGAGCCAAACCAAGGAAAATATATTGTTTGATAATATTTGAACCAAAGGAGATTTGTCTCAAAATGTGCCCAATATTGCTAAGCAACTTGTCACATATGGTATAAAACAAGTAGATAAACACTGTTTACATAAAAACATAGTATTTGACAGCTTGATAGGAAGGTAATTAATTTTTTTTGACTTGTCAAGGATTAAAAGTAAAAGAAAGAAACTGGTTAGACGGCCTCCAGTTTACATAGATTTTTACAGTTCTGAACCCTCTTTAGGATTCCCATATCTCGTTAATTTCCTTTGACACAACCAAGAACAAATAACAGCTTTTATCATCCTTCACTTTTGTCTCCTCGCCTTCTGTCTGCCAGTAACTCATGCCAATCTCAAACCAGTCAAACAATTTCTACAACGGAATGGGCTTCATGGATTAAAATGCAATTTGCTACAGTTAATGAAAATGTGCTCTGTATAAATACATGGGCGCTTATTAAGTTGGGGTTTGGGAGGTGAGAGCTGGCTTTAAACAAAGACAACCACCAACCTCTTTCATGTTTGCAGATGGGCTCTGCTGTGCCATGGAGAAATGCAATAGCACTGACTAATTTAATTCTGATATGCCCATAACAATATCTGCCTGAGTGCATGCAGATTTGTTTGTCTTGGTTGCAAAGATGTCTTTTAAAGACACAGTTCTGTGAGAAACGGGGGCATGTTTTACAGTTTAAGAACTCCTCTAATTTTTGCAGTGTCCACCTGTTGTCCCTCCGTCTCTTGAGGAACAGCTACAAATGAAACAAGTTATTCTACTCTGCCATGACACAGAAAACATTTGTGTGTGGCACCCTGAGAAGCACACCCATTTACTAGATGGCCACGCCTGTCTTGTTAGGATTCTCCTTAACCGCTTTTCTCCGAGTGCCATGTTACTTATAGAAAAATGTCCCAATCATCTTGAGACTCCTCTGTGTGACAGCCACAGTACATATGCTAATATCTGTAGATCAGTCTCAAGTAGATTCACCCCATGAGATAGTACATCTCTTGAGAATATCTACACAGCTCTATTTATCTGTCCATGAGCCCATTTGTCATGTGGGCGTATCTTCTTGTCAGAGGAAATGTTTTGGACGAATGTATGTGTACTCACATAGATTTGCATGCTTCCCACAGACCCAAGCAGCACAGAGGCATTAATTTGTACAGGGAGAACTGTGTATGCACGCTCATTAGGCTTGCTCCGTTACATGAGAGTGATATAACAGGCCAAGGGTTAGGTTATATCCACTGAGAGGCTATGTGAGTGTGATTGTGTGTACTGGGGTTTGCTGAGAATGTTGGAGGCCCTCTGCGTGAAAATTTATCTGTCTGAGAGCATTTGTCTGTCTGACTATCCCTTGGGTGTGTGTGTGCAATTGTACAAAAATAAGGGACTCATGTCTCGCCTTCCTGACACAGACAGAGTGTTGTTGAAGCGTGAAGTGGAATGAACTCTTTAGTCTTTAGAATAATTTATTTTATAAAACAGATAATGAGTAAAAACCTTTAACAATTCCTCCAAACTAAGTCAGTAGACCGCAAAATCCTTTCAGCCTCTATTAATGCCAGCTAAAATCATCCTGGAGAAAAGTCATTAAAACTTTAAATTACTAATCCACATTTTGGAAGATTAAAAGCACAATATACCGGATTAATTTAAGATTCAGAATAAAAATTTGTAGCCAAACACCATAGTGCATTCATGATCTCTAGTGATTTCAAGCATGGTTCTCTAGACTTTCAACCTTCTAATTGGATTTCAGCTAATTTCATTTGTCAAATCATCCTCAATAATTTTTAAACTGCAACAGTATGATTTCTATTTGAGTTTTTGAAAAAAAGCAAGTGAATTAAATTAACCTAATCAAACTGTTGTGATGATGATGGGGATCATCTCACATCCTGGTGTTATATTATTGATTGAAACTTGACCATGACTGGGTGCTGTGAACATAAATTATCACTCACTGAAATGCAAACCCACCCTGCATTAGGAAGGACTTGGGACATTAGAAGTCATGACACATCTTTATTGGTTATTCTAAAGTTCATAACACCAGTTACTACTGATTTAAATAGTTAAGTGGCTAAAAGATTGGAGGTTTCTAGGTGTTGGCAATCTGGTATTTTTATTGATTGATGGTCAAAGCCATGTTTAGTGTTGAAAATGTCAGTTTGAAATCTGATAAACTTGGTGGCAAAAATAAAACAGAAATTCAATCTTTCTATATTTGGAATCCATTAAAACTCAGACAGAGTACACGGAAAAGTTTGCATACTTCTGGAACCCTTGAACATTTTGTCATATCACCACCACAAACATATGCATGCACTATAGTTTTTATACAATACAACAAAGGTCAATGTAGCACAAGAGTTTAAAGTGAAAGGAAATTGTAGAAGGTTAACAAAACTTTTTACTAATCATTTTTAAAAAATCTAACAGCATCTACCTTTGTGTTTGATACCACTAAAAAATGCAGTCAGTCAATATTTGTTAAAATCACCTTTTCTTGTGATTATAGTTGCGAGTTTGATAGGGTATGTCTCTATCAGCATTGTTCTTCTGAAAGGTTTGCATATAAACACATGAATATGCTTTTAACCAGACCGTTCCAGTGCAGCAACAGATGTATGCTTTGGGTTGTTATTGCGAACCATCATTCAACAAGTTTTATTCCACAAATGTTCCATATTTACACTCATCCACTAAACCAGCTTTATTGTCCCTGTTCAAGAAAACATTACTCTCAGCATGACACTGTTACCACCATGTTTACGCTTGCAAAAACGGACTCAAAGTTAGAATACATGACGTGTGCTGTACTTACATTTTTTTGCCTCTGTTCTTTAAATGACAATTTTGGGAAGTTCACAACTAGAAGTTTTCCTATCAACAGATTCTCCCTGCTGTGCTGTTGATCTGAATTGTTTCTCTAGAGTAACCACAGACTTTGTCCAGTCTTACTATTAGGTCACTTTTAGCTGTATTATACTCTTTTCATTTCCAGATGACAGATTGAGTGGTCATCTTACATCTGACATATTGAAAACTTGGTATAATATTTTATGTACACATGTTTACACACAAGTATGTGTAAACATGTACACATCTTTGTCACTGCGCTGCCTTCTGTGGTTTTTGGTCTTCATTAAACTATTTCAGCCTTTTCCAGGACAATTGCATCTACACTGTTAAAACAACTGGTTGCTCTGGAATATGCCCATCTTTGCATTGGTCTATCACATAAAATTATAATAAAACACATTGAAGTTTGTGGTTTTAGTTTGATGTCTTTTACAAGACACTCTGACAGTGTTGCCCAGAGTAGAATGTAAAGTTTTGTATATATTCAGGATGCAGACATAAACTTTTCTTATGTGGAGCCCAAAATAAAGCTGTTAATAAAGATGTCTGCGGTGAGAGACCGCCAAAGTGAAGCTGAAGAAGAGATGTTGGGAAACCATGCTGTTTCAAAGTAAAGGGGGCGGGGTTTCGTTTTCTGGCAAAGCCACCAAAGAGATGCATGTTGAGGGAAAGTGAGACATCACAGGGTGTAATCGGACCTGCCCTAACATTATCGTCGGCATCACAGGTCTATCTATCTCATTGACAGGCCAGTGGCGTCAAGTGCCAGGGGGTATGACATACCTGACATAGGAGTGTGCCCCACTTTCACACACACATTCATGCACATAAAGACACATTAATTACTGCCAAATACAGATACCCCTGTCTCACATCTGGAGTAAGAGGGGTTTAACCTCATTGCTGTCCAGATTTTGGGGTTATAGCAGGAAGGATTAGCCAGGGCCATTTTTTTTTTTACTTTTTTTGATTCTATCTATATGAGCTTGTGGCACTTGCATGTGAGGTCAAGATCGTAAAACTTCAGAATGTACAGTTGCTTGGGTGCAGGGAGATCCACGGGGCCTCTAGCCTATTTGTATCCATTGGTGTGCCAACATATTTGCCTGTTTGTGGGCATGCTTTTATTTTACATTTCATAGTTTGTCTTTTCATATAGTTTGTAAATAAAGTTATCCTTTATTTAGGTCTTCCTTTTTATAAGAAGCATGCCATCCTACAGCCTTAAACATATATAAATTTACTGTGTGTAAATGTTTATGTGTGTGGGTGGTAGTAGTAGTAAAG